CACATATGACCTTTTGATGTTTTTGTCTGATTCAGGTTGCTTTTTGGTCGATCCAAATCTTCTCTGTCATTTCCCTTGTTCTACCCTTCTAAAAACTCGATCAAATTGCTGAACTAACAAGCTCACTGAATCTGCTTTATCCTCAGATTCTTGATCTTATCTTCCGCACGATGTTAGAGCAAAGTTCCTTGTCTTCTTAACATTCGATACCATGTTTTCCAACTCCATCTCTTGAGCTTGCAGCATACCCACTACCTCGGTGAAACTGAGTTTCTCGGTGTTTTGAGACACATTTAGTGTTGACTTGTACGCCATTAATTTTGCAGCAAGAAATCTCAAGAATTTGTTCACTAACTTCTTATCTTTATACTTCTTTCCAAGTATTGCAGGTTCTTGCGCAAGTGACTTTAACTTGGAAATGAAATATGAAATAGATTAATGTTTCTCCATTATCGGATTCTCAAACCTAGAAGTCAGCATGTCTTTTCTTGAATTATGAACCTTAATAGTTCCCTCAAAGTGGACTTGAAGCAGATTCGTTGCTTTTTTTACTGTTTGACAACCCTGAATGAGTTCAAACGTCTTCTTTGACACACTGAAATGAATGGCAGTTAGAGCCCTGGACTTGTACTTGGCTTTCTTCAACTCATCATTTGTCTACGTCTCTTCTGGTTTGGCACTTCTGAGCCCTTCTGCATCAACTATTGTAGGAGTTTCCCACCGAACCAGAACTGCTCTCAATGCTAGAGCCTTGATACCTCCAATCAAGCACTTCATCCTTGACTTCCATAATCCATAGTTTCCCGAATCTAGTCTACCCTCGAACTGTTGATTAGATCATGGTAGGTGTCCATTTTATCCACAAAACCTCACCCGTAATAGTACAGACAAGTGCCTTCTGTAATACCAAATGAAAGTGTGAGAGCTGTTGTAACAGAGAGTACTACAGGTACCGGTACATGAACGAACACAATAAACATGGGGTTCTTTGTCAGTACGCTTTACTAGATCAAACGATAAGTGCACTTACAAGTTTTACTCACCAACTTCAATCCTGGCCCAACGGTTTCACAAATCAACACATGATCTTGTAAACCTCTCACTCTCCCTTAGCCCCTTTGATCAGGATCTCTTACAAGAACAACCCTAAACCCCTTTTGTTAAGAATATGCTCTCTAATTGTGTTAAACATCTATCCACGTTTTTACACTCCTGTTTATACACAATAGGAATTGTAGATGCATCAGAGATGGCAGCTAAGGATCAAAGAACGTGTAAGGATTCCTGTGCTACACAGAAGATGAGCAATGTTGAAGTCAGCGTCACTCGTGTGAAGCCAACATCACACGTGTGAATGTCACATGTGTCTTAAACCATGAGAACGCAAGTCGGAGAGATCGTGCAGAAGGTTGGTCCAACTATCAAGGAAGTGACCTTATGCAAAAGGTAAATAGCATAAGGTTGGCTCGTTGCACAAATTGAAGTGATAGGTGAAACAGTGTTTCTCTGCGCAAGAACAGTGGATTGTCTACTGGTCCGAAGCATGCCTCTTCAAAAATATTGTTTAGTGGAGAACCAATATAACGTGACTGCAGAGGATGCTTTGAAAAGTTGTTCTTCTTTGAAAAAAATCTGTAGAGAGATTTAGAGAGTATGCTTGCATAAGAACTCAAGAACAAAAAGGGTGCGAGTATAAAATGCAATCTGTTCCTTCTGGGTAGATTAGGAACTGGTGTAGAACACAATTCTTGGTCTGTAAGATGTTGTGCATGTTGTGCGTTCTTGGGTAGACTAGGTTAAGAGTTTTATCCCATCTTTGTAAGAGTGTGTAATCTCATGCAACATGAGCTGATTATAGTATTTGTGTTTTCTCATCGGGTTCTACTACATTTACAGGAATAAACGGCTAACCTTAGCCTTGGTCTTCAAGTTTGGAAGATATCGATTCTTTTAAGAATATCCTCATTTTCTTAATCTTAGCCAAGATATTATCCTCTCCATGCATGCTCTTTTATCCTCTCCAAGAACCTCCACCAGCTCAGCTACACATTTTTGGCTCGTCTAAGGACACGTCAAGTTCAGCCCATGTCTCTTGAAACTCGACTCCATTTGCTTGCATCATTTCCTGAAGTACTTCGTAACTGCTTCAATCAGCTGCATATTCACTCCGTGTAAGCGAATAGTTGAGATCATAATGCGAGGCTGTTTTATATTGTCGAAGGAGTTCAATTTTGCGATCTTGGAATCTCTCGCACGTGGAGGAGATCTATGATGCATTACTTGACCACGTGGAAAGATGGAGATAGAAAACGTTGGGCGAGAAGATATCTGTGACTCTAAATTTTTATTCAAAAAAATTGAATAAAAAAAATCCAAACAATGCTCCAAAATATTTTTTTTGACCTTACCCAACTTGACTCGACAAGGCATTCCGAAGAGCCCAAGGCGTGCCATTACCCATGTTGATGCCCAATCCGGTGAGGTAAGCGAGCGTGTGGTCTTTTTATTTATTATCCTCATGTTTGGACTATGTGTGTGCTTATGGTTTGAACTTAGAGCACCTCCCTTTGGGTATCTAAAGGATTAAAAAATAAAAAAAAATTATAAACATATGAGAGAGAGAGATGAGTCTCTACATGAAGAACTCCCTTAGAAACTCAATTTCTACTTGGCATTATTTTAATGGTTCAATGTTTTTTCATTGATTTAAATTT